CGCCGCCGCCGCGCCCGCCCAGGGGGGCTCCGCGCCGCTCCCGGACGCGAGCGCGACGACGCCCGTCGAGGGGCGCCGCGCGGCCGCGCCCACAGGCGGGTTGGTGGTCCCAGGCGCGGCGAGCGGCGCCCGCCGAGCCCTCTGAAGGGCTCGACGGAGTCGCCGCCGCCGCGCCCGCCCAGGGGGGCTCCGCGCCGCTCCCGGACGCGAGCGCGACGACGCCCGTCGAGGGGCGCCGCGCGGCCGCGCCCACAGGCGGGTTGGTGGTCCCAGGCGCGGCGAGCGGCGCCCGCCGAGCCCTCTGAAGGGCTCGACGGAGTCGCCGCCGCCGCGCCCGCCCAGGGGGGCTCCGCGCCGCTCCCGGACGCGAGCGCGACGACGCCCGTCGAGGGGCGCCGCGCGGCCGCGCCCACAGGCGGGTTGGTGGTCCCAGGCGCGGCGAGCGGCGCCCGCCGAGCCCTCTGAAGGGCTCGACGGAGTCGCCGCCGCCGCGCCCGCCGAGGGAGGGCCCCGTGCCGCTCCGGGACGTGCGAGACGCCCGCGGAAGCGGGGTCGGGTCGCCCCGCGGCGCGGCGCGGGAGGCGCGGCGGTGTGGGGGGCGCGGTCGAAGCGCAGCGAGAAGGCGGACGGTTTGAACGTTCGGAGCGCGTCGCCCAGGAGGGGCGCGCCGCGCGCGAGTGGGCGCAACACCTTCCCCTCGGGAAGCGTCAGCGTTATGAAGTAGCGGGCCCGGTCTTTGAAGTCGCGCGCACGCGAAAAACGATGTAAACGGCCATTTCACTTTCCGACGCCGCGCGCGACGCCAGACATGATTTAGTAGTGTGTGTGATGTAGTTGAGAATGGAGGACCTAGGTGCGGGGAGCGTTTGGGAATGGCCTCAGCGACCCCAAAGGCGTCTCTCGAGCTCTCGCAGCAGTTCAAAACTCGAGGCTCCATACTCCGGTCCGCACGATGAGCACTGTTTTTGCAAACAGCCACTTTTGATTCGCACAATTAGGCCCCTCGACGACGCCGCCAGCGATCGCCTCCCAGTCCCAAACTCAGCTGTCTCAAAATCCGCAGCACCCAGACACCCCGAGAAAGCCCCCTGATGCTAGCGACGTGTACTCGAACGTCGAAAATCGGCTGGGATGTCGTCACAGCGCGTCGCTTTGACGCGCGGGGATGTGCTGGGGCTCCGTCACACGACGAGCAAATTTTAGCCGCTCCAGCCAGCCGCAGCGGCAGCCAGCCACGTCGGGGAGACCCAGGAGCAAAAGAACCGGCTACAGACCCGCGCTACTCCCCCATCTCCGGCGCGTCGCCGTAGACGCGCGCGAGCCAGGCCTCGTGCGCCGCGGGCCCCCTGGCCAGCTGCGCGCGCGCGCGGAGGCGGTCCGCCGCCGCCGTCGCGACCCAGGCCTCCTGGGCCTTGATGCGCGCGTGGAGCGCCTCGTTGGCGCGGAGCCGGTCCTCGGAGTCGATGACCGCGCCGGCGGAGAAGTAGTCGCGGAGCACGAGCTTGACGTGCTCCGTGTAGGCCGACGGCGACTTGCTCAGGCCGTACCCAATGTCGATGAGCCGCGGCGCGCACTCGTGCGTGTCCTGCTGGGCCCGGCCGCAGCACGCGCCGCAGAGCGCGTAGTCGCAGACGCGGCAGCACAGCAGCGCGCGACGCTGCGTGCCGTCGTGGCCGAGGCACGCGTCGCAGATGTCGCGGCCCGGGAGGGCGGGGTCCGCCAAGGGGGCGATGCGCACGCGGTCGTAGACCAGCGCGATGTCGCGGCCGCCGATGCTCGGCGCGCCGAGCTGCGGGAAGACCCAGTGCTGGAGCAGGAGGTCCGCGACCTTCGTGTAGATCGACGTGTGGCTCTCGGGCGTCTGCGGGCTCGCGGGCATGCGCGTCAGCGCGTGGCGCGCGATCCAGGCGCGCGTCGCCCGCGCCTGGGGCGCGCCGCGGCCCCGGCCCGCGCGCGCGGACGCGAGCTGGCCGATCGCGCCCGCGAAGAACGAGTCGGTCGTGTTGTCGATGCCGAGCGACAGCAGCAGCGACTTCACGGACGAGTCGTCGCCGAGGGCGACGGCGTTCTCCTCGAGCATCTGCACGGTCTCCGGGCTGAACTCGCGCCGCAGGCTCCGGATCATGGCGCGCTCGTCGACGTCGCGCGACCGGCGCCGGGGGATCCGGAGCCGCGCGACGTCGACGCGCGACAGCGCCGCGACGCCCGCGCGCGCCGCGCCCCGGAAGACGCCCGCGAGGAGCCGCTCGGGCTGGGACGTCGCCGCGAGCACGAACTCGTGGAGCGACCCGGGCAGCGCGTCCCATCGCGAGAAGAGCGCGGCGTCGGTCTCGTTGCGGACGCGCGCGACGCGCCGCAGCGTGTTGGCCTCGCGGAACGCGGACGTGAGGTTGCAGCCCCGCCGGCCGCCGGCGAACAGCAGGGCGAGCGCCTCCCGCGCCGTGAGCAGGTCCGCGACGTGCCGCGACACGTCGGCGGGGAGCCGGTTCATGGCGTGCGATCCGCTCGCGCCAAGGGATCTCCTTGCCGTAGGCCCGGTCGGGACGGCTCCGAAGGCCTGGTCGCGGGCTGCTCGGGGGCGTCTCCGGGGGGCGGGGCCGAAAGCGCGACGACGACAGGGTGCGGCGCCGGGCTGATGCTCTGTGGCAGGATTGGGCTTCAGCTTGAAGCCTTGTTGCAGCGCGGCGCGCGGGCCCGCGCGGACACGCTGTCTAGCTTTGCCATCGGCAATGATCAAAGATGCGGGTGTTCTAATAGGCACAGACGCCGCCATCGATGGCGACGAAGAAGCCGAGCTGCGGCCAGGCGCGCGGTGGCGAATAGCGGGTGTGCGACAATCCGAATAATTCCAGTGCACATCCAGCGAACGCATATCCGCGGGCAGGACAGTCCTCACGCAGCGGGGACGGAACTCGGACGGCGTCGAGCGTCGCGACGAGCTGCAACCTGGTTGCAATCTAGAAATCAACACCTCAGCAAGGCTCAGCTTAGCATCGACGATGGTTAGGCCTTCGTGGCCGTGCCTGCTCGCGCTGCTCCCGCTAACCAGCACGCTGCAGCACGCGAGACCGGCGCGCCAACACTTAACAACACGAGCATCCGTCGTCCCGCCCGAAGGCCTCACCGCCGAACCGGAAACGACGTCGTGGGAGCCGACGTCGTGGGAGCCGTCGCTCGCCACCCACGTTACAAAGTCGCTCGAGAGCCTCCAGTCCGCGGAGATCCTCGAGGCGTTCGTGGACCGCTGCGCGACGCACCGCGGCGCCCAGCGCTTCGGGCGCGGCGGCGACGTCGGCGCGCTCGCGGCGGACGCGGACGCCGCGCGCGAAAAGTACGCGGAGCTCGACTGGCTCGTGAGCGCGGAGCACGCCGGCGACGGGAGCGTGCTGCCGCTCGCGAACCACAGCCTCGCGACGGCGCTGACGGCGCGGCTCGAGCGGGCGCTCGACGCCGCGGAGCGCGGCGACGTCCTCGAGGTCGACGACCTCCTCTTGGTCGTCGACGCGCTCGACGAGTTCGACAGGCTCCAGGCCTGGCTCGAGGACCGGCCCCGGACGCCGGCGCTCGAGCGGCTCCTCGCGGGGTCGCCGCTCCTCGCCGACGCCGGCGCCTACGAGGCCGCGACCGCGTGCTGGCCGCTGAGGAGCGCGTTCGAGGAGCACGACGGCGAGCTCCGGCTCTCGGGCGCCACGTTCCCCGAGCTCGGCGCCGCGCGGTCCCGGGAGAAGGCGGCCAAAGTTGCGTTGGAAAGCAGCAAGAAGGACGCGCACCCCGACGGCGCCAAAGCCGCGGAGAAGGCCGGCGGCTTCTTCGAGCTCGAGGGCCGCTGGGTCGTCGCGATGCGGTGGGAAAGCGGCGTCTTTTCTCGCAACAAAACGTCGGCAATGTTGTCAAACCCCGTCGTAGGTCCAACGCCATCCCCAAGGACGGCTTCGTCCACGGCGCGAGCCGCACGGGGCAGACGCAGTACGTCGAGCTCTCGTCGCTCGTGTCGCCGACGAACGAGGCGAAGCGCGCGCTGTCCATGCGCCGCGCTGAGGAGGCCGCGGCGCTCCGCGCCTGCGCGTCGGCCGTCGCGGGCCACGCGGCTGTAGTGAGGTCCCTGCTGGACGCCGTCGCGGGCCTCGACGCGCTCCGCGCGCGCGCGCGCTTCGGGAAGGCCGTCGGCGGCACGATCCCCAGGGTCGCCGACGGCGCCGAGCTCGCCGTGACGAACGCGCGCCACGCGCTCCTCGCCCTCCGCAACGACGGCGTCGTCGGCAACGACGCGCGGCTCGGGCCCGGCGGCGCGCGGTGCTTGGTCATCTCCGGCGCGAACGCGGGCGGCAAGTCGGTACTACTCAAAACGCTGGGCCTCGTGGCCGTGCTCGCGCGCTTGGGCGCGCCCGTGCCCTGCGACGAGGGCGCCGTCGTCGGCTGCTTCGACCCGATCCTTGCGGACATTGGGGACGCGCAGAACGCCGACGGCAACGTGTCGACGTACGTCGGGCATCTGCTCGTCGCCAAGGCGGCGCTCGAGGCCGCGGACGCGGACCGGGCGGAGCGGCCGCTCGTGCTTTTGGACGAGCTCGGCAGCGGCACGGACGCGGCCCAGGGCGGCGCGCTCGCGCAGGCCGTCTTGGAGGATTTAGTGGACAAGGACGCGGTGCTCGTCTGCACGACGCACTCCCAGTCGCTCAAGTTCCTCGCCGCGGGCGACGACGACGACCGCTTCCTGAGCGTGGCCATGGCGCCGGGCTTCACGGCCGTCGCGGGCCGCGTCGGCGAGTCGCGCGCGCTCGACATCGCGCGCGACCGCGTCCGGTTGCCGGACCGCGTCGTCGACCGCGCGGAGCTGCTCCTCGGCGACTCGCAGCGCAAGCTCGCGGACCTGGCGCGCGACCTCGACGCGGCGCGCGAGGCCGCGGACGCGACGGCCGCCGACGCGCGGCGCGAGGCCGCCGCGGCCGCGGCCGCGCGCGCCGACGCCGACGCCGAGGCCGCGGCGCTGCGCGCGGCGACGCTCCAAGCCGAGGAGACGGCGGCGCGCGACTACGGCGACCGCCTCGCCGCGCTGGAGGACCGGCTCCGGGCCGCCGAGGCCGCGGCGGCGCTCGACGCGAAGCTCGCGGCGGCGCTCGAGGACGAGCGGGCCGCCGCCGCCGCCGCGGCCGCGGCGAAGAACGTCGAGCGCCGGGGCCTCGCGCCGCTCGCGTCCGCGGACGCCGTCGCCGTCGGCGACGCCGTCGTCGTCATCCGCGCGGGCGTCTGGTACGCCAAGCCGGCGAAGGTCACGGCGCTCCTCCCGAAAAAGGGCGTCCTCGTCGCGGTCGACGGCGTCGACGCGGCCGTCGGCGGCGACCTCAAGGTCAAGCTCAAGGAGCTGTCGCTGCCGCCCGCGGGCGCCGAGGCCGCCGCGCCCGCGAAGAAGCAAAAGCCCCGCGGGAAGAAGGTGCCCAAGCAGCTCGTCGGCCTCGACGGCCCGGAGCCCGCGGCGGCCGCGGCGCCGCCGAAGAACGACGCGAACGTGCGCGGGGACTTCAACACGCTCGACTGCCGCGGCATGCGCTACGACGACGCGGAGCGCGAGACGGACTACTTCCTGGACCGCATGCTCCGCCAGGGCGCGTCGTCGGCGTTCGTCCTCCACGGCCACGGCACGGGCGCGCTCAAGAAGGGCCTCCGGTCCTACCTCGCGACGCACCCGCTCGCGAAGCAGGCGAAGCCCGCGGCCCACGACGACGGCGGCGACGCGTTCACGCGCGTCGTCCTCCGCGCGGCTAAGAGGGCGCCTTAGTTAATTCGTGTACACGAAGTAGTTGTCCTCGAAGGGCCGGCCCTTCAGTTTCGGGTGGAGCAACACGAAGGCCGACGGCCAGAACACCAGGTTCGACAGGCAGTAGGCGAAGAAGAAGCGCGCGAAGCCCTCGCTCCGGCCCATGCGCCGCGCGGTCTTCGTCCAGCGGTCGCGCGCGGGGACGCGGACCATGTTGCCGACGGGCAGCGCGTAGTTCAACGTCGCGAAGCCGCAGCTCGTCAGCACGAGCGACAGCGGCGCGACGCGGAGGTTCTCGTCGTAGAAATGCATGAAGCACCCCGCCGCGCCGATGCCGAAGGTCACGACGCCGGCGTCCTGCTTGAGCGGGCCGAGCACGCGGTTCTTGACGGCCCAGAGCCAGTAGAAGACGCACCAGCCCGACAGCGCGCGCTCGGCGAGCGACTTCTCTAGAGCTAGCAGCGTGTACCAGCAGCCCGCGTTCGACAGGAGCATCACCGGGATGCCGAGCTCCATCGTGGCGCGCTCGGTGATGCCGCAGCGACGCTCGACGACGTCGATGGCGGTGCAAGTATGGTTCAAGTCGATCGCTTGACGTTTTGCCACAAACGAGCGTGCTCGTCGTGGTGCGGCGGCGACGCGACGCCTCGCAACATGCTGCGCGCCCGCGTCGTGGCGTTCGCGGCCACGGTCGCGGTCGCCCAGTACGCCAACCTCGAAAAGTACGCGGCCTTCGACACGACGCACGGCGTGGCGTCGTCCGAGGGCCTGTCGCTGCGCCTCGGCGCCTCGAGCGCCGTCGGCGGCGCGCTGCTCCACGGCGACGAGGCCTGGGAGCGGCGGCTCGAGTTCGGCGCGCCGAGCGTCGTCTACGACACGGACCGCTACAAGCTCTGGTACGGCGCCTGCGTCGCCGGCCGCTGCGGCTCCGGCGACGCGACGCGCGCCTTGCTCTACGCGGAGTCGGCCGACGGCGTGCGCTGGCGGAAGCCGCGGCTCGGGCTCGTGCACTGGCCCGTGGGCGGCGCGAGCGCGGCGAACAACCTCGTCGTCATGGGCGCCGGCGGCGCGGGCGTCTTCGAGGACGCGAACCCGCGCGAGCCCTCGAGCCGGCGGTTCAAGGCCGTCGCGGCCGTCGCGCCGCGGGGCGCGGCGCCGCGGCGCGGCGCGCTCGCGTCGCGCGACGGCCGCGCCTGGGAGCGGCCCCGCCTCGGCACGGGCGCCGGGTCGCGGGACGGCCCGGCGAGCGCCTTCTGGGCCGCGGCGCTCGGCCGCTACGTGTCGTTCGCCGCGCGCGGCGGCGGCAACGGCACCGTGGGCCGGCGGGAGCAGCGCGGCTGGGCCGGGCGCGCGGGCGCCGCGACGACGGCGCTGCGCGGCGCGGCGGCGCTCGCGGCTTTTCCGTTTTACAGCGCCTACCTGGGCTTCGCGGCCGCCCGGGGGCGGTGCGAGCCGTACTGGTCGCCGGACACGGAGCGGTGGTTCCCGCTCGTCGACGCGCGGTCCGGCCGGCGGGACGTCGTGCCGCCGGGGAACGGCGTCGTGTGCGGGCGGCCCGTCGTCGCCGGGGGGCGCACGACGGTCTACTATCTCGAAGGCGCGGGCAACGCGACGCTCCGCGCGGCCGCCTACGGGTCCGACGCGTTCGCGGGCCTCGGCGCGGGCAAGCGCGCGGGCACGCTGCGGTCGCGCGCGCTGCCCTGCCGCGGCGAGCCGCCCGCGGTCACCGTCGCCGTCGGCGGCGCCGGGTCCGTCAAGGCCGCGCTCCTGGACGTCCGCGGCGACGCGCTCGCGGGCTACTCCATGGCCGAGTCGTCGCCCATCCTCGCCGACGCGGCGGACGCGACGCTGGCCTGGTCCGCGACGGCGACGCGCGTGCCCGAGCTCCCGGAGAGCTGCGTGCTCGTGCTCGAGCTCGCCGACGCGACGGTCTTCACCTTTGGGTTCCCGCGGCCGCCGCCGCCGCCGCGGCCGCGCGACGCCGCGGAGCGCCACTTCGCCGAGGCGCTCCTCGTGGGCGAGGCCGAGCTCCTCGGCATCGCGCGGCTCTTCGGGCTTCTGGGCGCGACGACGCTCGCGTGCGCGGGCCTCCGCGGCGCCTGCGCGCGCGTCGCCAACTGCGTCCACCGCGACCGCCGCAAGGCGCGCGCGGCGGACCTGGGCCTCGAGAGCCGCGAGACGAGCTAACGCCCGCGTTGGTTTTTTTTCCGCGCGGGGTGCGCCAGGGGGTGCGCGGCGGGCCAACGGGAGGCCGGACGCAGCCTGACGCGGCAGGCCGCCGCGCGGCGACGCGGCGCGGCCTGAGCGGCCTGAGCGGCGCGCGCCGGCGCCGCGCGCCGCGAGGCCTGCCGCGGCGCGGGGTGCGCTCCCGGCCCCCCGGCGAATCGCCTGACTAGGACCCCGCACCAAAAATCGGCCGATTTGAGACGGTCGAATTTGGCTGCGCCGCCTGGTGCGATGGATAGCCGGCGTCGACCCGATAATTAAAGAGTTTCGGTTCGTGAAAATCGGTCTGGATTTCGTAAAGTTACAGCTCCTCAAAGTCTCTATTTTTTTCCTATGGCGCAATGGACGACCCATTTCCGCGTAAGGCGTTCGTTCTATGTGACGGCCCTGTTCCACGGCGGTTTTTTGTTTCAGGTTGCATGGGGCGCCGCCCTGCGTCGATCGAGCCAAAGAACATACTTGGAACAGGCCGGGAAGTCGACCCACCGGCCGGAGCCGTGTTTCGGCACCGGGGAAAAATCCGAAGCGCCGGAAGCGGATCTTTTGTCCGATGCGGGGTCCTAGCCTGACGCGCGGCGGCCCTGGTCGAGGATGGTAAAACTTTTGCGGCTGCTGGTCGCGCTCGCCGCGGCCGCGGCGGTCGCCGGGGACGCTGCGGCGGCGGACGTCGAGCTCGAGGTCGTCGACGCGACGACCGTCGGGTCCCTCGAGGCGACGGCGGAGCAGCTCGCGGCGCTTCTGAAGGAGAAGGAGTCGCTCGTCGACAGCCTCTACAGCGAGCTCCAGCGGTCGACGACGGAGACGACGGAGGCGTCGGACAAGGACGGGGACGAGGCGCCCTCGGAGTCCGGCGAGAAGCGGAAGCGCAAGAAGACGCGGCCGCCGACGGGCGCGGACGGCGAGTACGCCAAGAAGACGCGCAAGCCCACGAAGCGGCCGACGCCCGCGCCGAGCCCGGCGCCCCAGGCGGCGGCCACGCCCCGACCGACGAAACGCCCGAAGCCCATGCCGACGCCGCAGCCGACGAAGGCGCCCGCGCCGCGGCCGTCGACGAGCCCTGTCGGGGCCATCGGCGACGACGACCCGGCGCCCGCGCCGGAGCCCGCGCCGGCGCCCGAGCCGGAGCCCGCGCCCGCGCCGGAGCCCGCGCCCGCGCCCGCGCCCGAGCCGGCGCCGGAGCCCGCGCCCGAGCCCGCGCCGGAGCCCGCGCCGGAGCCCGTCTTCGACCCGCCGGCCGAGGACGACCAGCCCGTGCTCGACATCGACGCGGACGGCGACGCCGCGGAGCCCGAGCCCGCGCCCGCGCCCAAGGAGGAGCCCGAGGCGTACGAGGCCCCCAAGGAGCCGGAGGCGCCCGCGGAGCCGGAGGTGCCGGAGGCGCCCGCGGAGCCCGACGACGCGCCCGCGGAGCCCGAGGCGCCCTCGGAGGCGCCCGAGGCGCCCGAGGAGCCCGCGTGCGACAGCAGCAGCCGGCCCTGCCCCTGCGACGAGAGCAAGTGCTCGAACCACGGCGCCTGCCTCCAGCGCGGCGACCAGACGCGGTGCCGCTGCCGGGGCGCGTGGACGGGCGAGACGTGCGACGTCGGCGGCTGCGAGACCCTCGCGGACTGCGGCGCGTGCCTCGCGGCGACGGCGGCGCCGGCGCGGGGCGGCAAGAAGGGCCGCGGCGGCCGCGGCCAGGGCGGCCGGCGCCTCCTCGACGAGGGCCTCGGCGGCCGCGGCGGCAAGCGCGGCCGCGGCGGCCGCGACCTCCAGCGCGGCGGCGCGCCGGCGTGCGCCTGGGTCGACGCGGCCTGCGTCGACGCGGAGGACGCCGGCGGCCGCGGCGCGGCGACCTGCGACGCCGCGGCGGAGTTCCCGACGTCCACGGACGACCGCACGGACGACGCGCCTGCGGCGCCCGCGGCGCCCGGCGACGACGCGCCCGCGTACGAGCCGCCGGCCGACGAGCCGCCGGCCGACGAGCCGCCGGCCTACGAGCCGCCGGCGTACGAGCCGCCGGCCCCGGAGGCGCCGCCGGCGCAGGAGGCGCCCTCCCTCGACGACCCGCTCCCGGCGGAGGACGACGAGGTCGCGGACGACGACGCGCCCTCGCGCCCGTCGCCCGCCGCGCGGCTCGGCGCGCTCCTCGGCGAGCTGACGGCGAGCGACGACGACGGGCCCGTGAGCGACGCGAAGAAGGCCGCGCCGCTGATCCTCGGCCTGCTCGTCCTCGCCGTCGGCTTCGCGCTCGTCAAGAAGTGCTGCGGCTGCGTCGCGGGCCTCCGCGGCGGGTCGGCGCCCGCGCAGCCCTACGAGAAGGTGCCCCAGGTCGAGATGACGGCGCGGGACGTCGAGAAGGGCACGAACCTGCCGCCGGCCGCGCGGACCGTCGGCGCGCCGCGCGACGACCCGCCCGTCGCGGACGGCGACGACGACGACGACGACGCGTTCGGCGACGACGACGGCTGGGGCGACGCCGCGCCCGCGCCGCCGCCGCCGCCCAAGGAGAAGTCGCCGAAGCCCGCGCGGCCCGCGGCGCCCGCGGCGCAGTCGGCGCAGGCGCGCCGCGACGCGAAGCGCGCGGAGCTCCAGGCGAAGCGCGAGGCGCGCGACCGCGACCGCAAGGACAAGGCCGCGGCCGCGGAGCCCGCGCCCGCGGGCCTGGCGCCCATCACGCAGCTCGGCGCGCCCAAGGCCGAGCGGCCGCCGCCGAAGCCGAAGCCGCCGCCGCCGCCGCCGGCCGACGACCCCTTCGCGGCCATGGGCATGGACTCGCCGCCGAAATTCGGCGTCGGCGGCCGCGGCGTCGCCGCGCCCAAGAAGCCCGCCGCCGCGCCGCGGCCGCCGCGGCCCGCGCCGGCGGCGTCGCGGCCCGCGCCCGTGCCCGCGCCGAAGCCCGTGCCCGCGCCGCCCAAGCCCGCCGCCGCGCCGCTGGACCTCACGGACGCGAGCGCCTGGGACGACGACGACCTCGACGACATCCTGAACTCCTAGGGGGCATTAACTAGCAAGCGGCTTCGAACTCGGGTCGACTCGTTCGATTGCCAGAGCCGTTGCTCGAAGAGCGCCGCAGCTAATTTGTACGGCACCACGGCACCTCCTCTTCAATTCCGGTCGTTGCCGCTGACTCGGTGTGGCGAGGCCTGACTTCTTCGAAGCTGGTGCCTGTCGCGCTGCCGTGTCGTCGCCGCTGCCGCACCTCGTGCACATCCAGGACATCGTCGTGGTGCGCATCGATCGCAGAAACAATCGCCAGCCTTTGTGAATGCACCTGCGCACGCTCGCGACCCTCACGCTCGTCGCGCGCGCCTCGTCGCTCGCGCGCGGTACCCGCATGCCGCGCAATGTGGCCAAACAGGACCTGCCGACGAAGATCTGCGTGACGTGCAACCGCCCGTTTACCTGGCGCAAGAAGTGGGAGCGCTGCTGGGACGAGGTGACGACGTGCTCGAAGCGATGCAACTCGGAGCGGCGGCGGGGCGCGAAGCTCGACGGCGGCGACGACGCGTCGCCGGCGCTCGAGCTCTCCGACGTCTCCGACGACGACGCCGCGCCGGCGCTGTCGGCGAGAAAGTTGGCGAAGAAGGCCGCCAAGGCCGAGCGGCGCGCGAAGCGCCAGGGCACGGCGTCGAAGGACTCGGGCCGCAAGAGCTGCGACCTCTGCGACGCGAAAGTGAATCTCCTCGTGCGCTGCCGCACGGACGAGACGCGCGCGTGGCGCATGGTCTGCGGCGGCTGCTGGCACGGCGTCTCCGGGGGCGTGCCCGACGGCGACGCGGCGCACCCGCACTACGCGTACGGCGGTCTGTGGAAGAACCGGAATCCCCAGACCGGGGCATCCTCGGAGGCCGAGCGCGCGGACGACGCGGCGTTCCTCGCGGCCGCGGCCGCCGGCGCGTAGGGACCGTAACGTCCCGTCGGCTTACCCGTCTTCGACGCGCCGGAACCAGAGCGCGAGCGCGAAGCGCGCGCCGGCCTCGACGCGGCGGACCTGGTGGAAGTTGTCGGTGCCGCCCGTGAAGGCGAGCAGACGCCCCGCGCGGGGCGCCACGAGGCGGTCCGCGTCGACGTCGAGGAAGGCGAAGTCGCCGCCGGCGAAGCCGACGCCGCGCGTGTTGAGGTAGAGGAGGCACGAGACCTCGTAGCCTCCGTTGTTGAGCTCGTCCGCGTGCGGGTTCCAGTAGGGGTAGCCGCGCTGGCCCTCGAAGGCGTCGCCGGGCCGCGGCGCCGCGACGATGCGCGTGACCATGGCGCCGCTGACGTCCAGCCCGCAGCGGAGGTCGAGGAGCTTCCCGCACGCGGCGGCGCAGCGGTCGACGAGGGACCGGCAGAGGCTCCCGGGGCAGCTGTCGACGCCGAGGCTCGCCTTGCCGCCGCGCCGCGGCCGCCGGCGCATGCCCGCCAGGGCGAGGCGCACGACGGCCGCGCACTCCGCGGGCGTCGCGACGCCGTCGGCGACGGCCCGAGGCCCGCCGCCGGGCGCGGCGAGCGCCGCGGAGCGGCCGGCGTCGACGGCCTCGTCCGGCGCGGCGCAGGGGAGCAGCGGCTTGCCCGGCGCGCAGCGGGCGCGCACGAGGGTCGCCTGCGCGGCCATCAAAGCGGCGCGCCGCGCGGCCTCGCGGTCGCGGTCGTCGGCCGTCGGGCCCGCCGCGGCCGCGGCGGCCGCCGCCGGCGCCGCGGCGACGCCCCGCCGCAGGTCGCGCAACGCCTCGCCGACGGCGAGGCGCGCGAAGCCCTCGCGGTCCGCGCCGTAGGCCGCGGCGCCGCCAAACTCGCGCAGGGCGGGACCGCCGTCGCCGTCGAACTCGGCGAGCGCTTTCTGTCTCACGTCCTCGACGAAGGCCTGGAACCGCGGATCGGCGCTCATGCGCGCCATCGCCTTCTCATGGACCATGGCGGCCATGGACTCACGATAGGGCAGCCCCTAGGCGTGAAAGGCCACCATTGTGAGGGTCAACATGAGATCGGAGCCGACAGTGAACACGGTGCCACAAGCATGGGCTTGGCATAACCTGCCTCGCGCGCCGCCGCAAACAGCGAATGTTCGTCGTCGTCACCGAGGACCACCACGACGTGCTGCCGTGGCTGCACGCGGCCATGCGGCGCAAGGTGCTGCCGCTGGAGGGCTGGCGCCTCGTGCACGTCGACGCCCACCCCGACCTCGGCGCCCTCAAGGACGCGGCCATCATCACGAAGCCGCGGGAGCTCTACGCGTTCCTGGACGACTCGGAGTACGGCATCTGCGAGTGGATTCTGCCGTTGGCGTACCGGGGCCACTGCGGCGCCGTCGACTGGGTGAAGCCGCCGTTCGCCGCTCAGTTCCGCGAGGGATCGTACGCGTTCGCCGTGGGCGCGGACGCGTCGGGCGCGCTCAAGGTCGACTGCGACGAGGCCTACTTCAAGGAGGACGGCGCGACGGCGGCCGGGCCCCTCGAGGGCGCCAGGCCCCTCGCGCTCGCGGTCGTCGCCGCCGACGCGATCGCCGCCGCGCCGCCCGCGGGCGCCTGGGTCCTGGACGTGTGCCTCGACTACTTCGCCTGCCGCGACCCCTTCGCGGGCGCGCCGCCGGGCGGCCGCCTCTGCGACCCGCTCCCGGCCGGCGGCGCGGCGACGGCGGACGAGGCCGCGGCGGCCGTCGCCGACCTCGAGGCCGCGCTCGCGCCGACGGCGGCGCGGCCGCCGGCCCTCGTCACGATCGCCCGCAGCACGCTCGACGGCTACTGCCCGGCGGACCTCGTCGAGGGCCTCGAGGCCGCCGTCGTCGCCGCAGTCGGCCGCCTCTACGGCGCCTGCGTCGTCGTCCGCGACCTCGAGGGGACGAAGGCCTTCGACGCCGCGGAGGTCGCGCGCGCGTTCCCGCAGACGCCGGCGCGGAAGCGGCCCCGGCATGTATCTTAGTTGGCGTCGCCGCCGAGCTGGTGGGACACGAGCCCGAAGTAGGGCCCGCGCGCGTCCATGAGGGCCTCGTGGGGGCCCTCCTCCTTGAGGACGCCGTCGCCGAAGACGCAGATCTTGGACGCGTGCTTGATCGTGGACAGCCGGTGCGCGATGACGATCGTCGTGCACTTGGTCGTCGCGAGGAGCGCGTCGAGGGCGTCCTGGACGACGCGCTCCGACTTGGCGTCGAGCGCGGACGTCGCCTCGTCGAGGACGAGGCACCGCGGATCGCGGACGAGCGCGCGCGCGATGGCCACGCGCTGCTTCTGGCCGCCGGAGAGCTGGACGCCCCGCGCGCCCACGGCCGTGCGAAAGCCGTCGGGGAACGTGCCCACGAAGTCGAACGCGTTCGCGAGCTTCGCGGCCCGTTCGACCTCGTCGTCCGTCGCGGCCGGCTTGCCGTAGCGGATGTTGTCGGCGATGGTGCCCGTGAAGAGGCAGGGCTCCTGGGACACGAGGCCGATGGACGCGCGGAGGCTCTTGACGCCGACGGACCGCACGTCCAACCCGTCGACGAGCACGCGGCCGCCGTCGCAGTCGTAGTAGCGCAGCAGCAGCTGGACCGCCGTCGACTTGCCCGCGCCGGACTCGCCGACGAAGGCCACGGTCTCGCCGGGGTTCACCGTCAGGGAGAGGCCCGCGTAGACGGGCCGGTCCGGCCGCGTCGGGTAGGCGAATTCGACGGCGTCGAAGGTCACCGCGAGGCCGCCGGACGCCGCGGCGAGCGTCGCGTTCGCGCCCGCCTCGGGCGCGAGCGCGTCGATGGCGCTCTCGCGGTGCACGAGCGCGAAGACCTTCTTCGCGGACGCCATGGCCTCGGCCTTGTCCACGGAGTCGCCCGCGACCGCGCCGATGCCGAACGCCATGAAGATGACGACGAGCAGCACGGTCATGAGGTCGCCGAACTCGACCCAGCCCTTGCGGAAGAAGAGGCCGCCGATGTAGTACTGGAAGGCCGCGCCGAAGAGGATCGTCGCCGCGGCGACGCCCGCGCCCAGGCCGCCCGCGACGCCCTTGCGGATGGCCTGCTGCTCCGGCAGCGCGAGGAACTCGTCGAACTTGGCCGTCACGGCGGCCTCGATGCCGTAGGCGCGGACCGTGCGCACGTGGAGCACGGCCTCGGCCGCGACGCCGCCGGCCCGCGTGAGCGACTCGTTCGCCGCCTCGGCGACCTTGGCCACGTAGGTCGCCGTGATCGCGATGGGCGCGACGATCATGGGGATGATCGCCAGCGTGACGAGCGTGAGGCGCCACGACGCGTCGAAGCTCAACGCCAAACCGCCGAGCACGATGACGAGCATCGCCACGGAGAGCGCGATGCGCTGGCCGACGAGCGCGCGCACGGCCGAGCAGTCCTGGGCGAGGCGCGCGGCGAGCGCGCCCGCGGTCGTCGTCGGCGAGTCGTGCCAGCCGACGGCCTGGCGGATCATCGACTCGAACGACGCCGCGCGGACGTCGCGGACGACGCGCTCGGCGACCCGCGTGAGCCCGTAGGACTTGAAGAGCTCGCCGATGGCGCCGCCGCCGCCCATGGCGACGAACATCAGCGCCCAGAACTGGGCCTCGCGGCGCATGTCGCGCCGGTCCGTGTTGAAGAAGGCCGTGATAAACTCGGCCATGAGGAACCCGACCAGCGGCTGCGTCGCGCCGCCGATGCCCGCGCCGAGGCAGCCCAGGCCCGCCCAGCGCCGGTCGCCGTCGGCGACGGACCAGAGCCAGCCGACGACGGACGACGCGGACACGTCGTCCTTCGCGGCGTCCTCCGGCGCGACCTTGGTATCGTCGTTCTTCTCCTTGGCCTCGACGGGCACGGCCACGACGACGTCCTCGGCGGCGGCGTGCTCCGCCAGCGCCTCCGACGACGGCGACCGGTCCATGCCCGTGGGGTCGTGGAGCTGCGCCTCGACCAACGCGTAGTACGTGCCGCGCGCGTCCATGAGCGACTCGTGCGTGCCCTCCTCGGCGACGGCGCCGTCGGCGAAGACGGCGATCTTGTCCGCGCGGCGCACCGTGGACAGGCGGTGGGCGATGACGAGCGTCGTCCGCCTCTGGGCCGTGACGACGTCGTCGATGGCCCGCTGGACGACGCGCTCCGACTTGGCGTCGAGCGCGGACGTCGCCTCGTCGAGCACGAGGATCTCCGGGTCGCGGACGAGCGCGCGCGCGATGGCCACGCGCTGCTTCTGGCCGCCCGAGAGCTGGACGCCGCAGTCGCCGACCTCCGTCTCGAAGCCGTCGGGGAACGCGCCCACGAAGTCGAACGCGTTCGCCAATTTCGCGGCGCGCTCGACGTCCGCGCGGCCCGCGCCCGCGCGGCCGTGGGCGATGTTGTCGGCGATGGTGCCGCTGAAGAGCACGGGCTCCTGGGCGACGAGGCCGATCTTCGCGCGGAGCGCGGCGACGTCCCAGGTCCGCGCGTCGACGCCGTCGACGAGCAGCGCGCCGCCGTCGACGTCGTAGAAGCGGAGCAGCAGCGACACGGCCGTGGACTTGCCGCAGCCCGAGGGGCCCACCAGCGCGCAGGTCTGGCCCGCGTCGACGGCCAGGGTCAGGCCGGCGTAGACGGGCCGGTCCGGCCGCGTCGGGTACGCGAACGTCACTCGGGAGAACGCGATCGCGCCGCCGGCGACGGCGCCCGCGGGCGCCGACGCCTCCCTGGCCTTGGCTTTCGAGTCCGCCGCGTGGGCCTCGGCCGCGACCTCGGCGTCGTCGATGATCTTGAAGATCTTGCGCGCCTCGGCCGTCGCGAGCGTGAACGCGGCGATGCCGGGAAGCGCCTGGAGCAGCGCCAAACCCCCGAACAACACGCAGAGGAACGCCGTCATGATGTCGCCGCCCGTGACGCAGTCGTTGGCCGGCTCGCGGACGTCGCCGTCCTCCATGACCCGATAGTTGCACTCGTCGCGGTCCGCCATGTCCGACCGGATGAGGTACGACCCGTACCAGAGCCCGAGCGCCCACGTGCTGTAGAGGATGGCCGCGACCAACGCGCCGTTCAGGCCCGTGGCCACGGCGGAGCCCAGGGACTCCCGGGCGGCCTCGGCGCACTTGGCGCGGTAATTGTCGGCCTCGAGCTGCTCCGCGCCGAACGCCGCGACGGTGCGGACGTTCGTCAGCGCCTCCATGGCGGCCGCGGACGCCTCCGCGGACGCCGCCGTCGCGCGGTCGTTCGACTTCTTCTGCCAGGCCGCCGCCGCGCCGAGGAGGGCGACGATGATCGGCAGCGCGCCGATGGTCACGAGCGTCAGCGACCACGCGTAGTAGAGCGACACGGCGACGCCGAAGACGAAGGCCAGGACGCCCTGGAGGCCCGTCGTGAACTTCTCGCCTAAACCGTCCTGGATGGCCAGCGTCGACTCGAGCACGGACGCGCCGACGGCGCCCTGGTTCTCGCCGTCGAACCACGCGACGGGCTGCCGGAGCAGCGCCGCGAAGTAGTGCTCGCGGCAGCGCCGCGCCTGCTTCGCGGCGACGCGCGTCGCGAGCGCCGTCTGGATCGTGATGGTGATGAGCTGCTGCACGCCGACGAGCGCGTACATGAGCGCGAAGAAGTGGACGAGGCGCACGGCCTTGGCCGTGTTGTCGTCGTTGAACGAGTCGATGAGGTTGCCGAAGATGATGAGCTGCGCGGGCTGGTTCGCGCCGGAGATCGTGACGGTGGCCATGGCCAGCGAGAAGAGGCCGAGGTCGCCCCAGGTCGCGTAGCGCAGCAGGTGCATGGCGCGCTTGGGGGACGCGGGCGCCGGCGGCGCCTCGACGTCCTCGAGGATCGCCTTCTTCTCCGGCAGCTCCGTGGCCTTGCACATGGCGGCGTTTCTTGGCGACGGTGTGTCGTCCGACGCTGTCAGAGAGCTAGCTACGGTGTGGCGAGGCGACGACGACTCGAGGTCGCGCTGCGAAGCACGTCGCACGGCGGACACGGGCAGAGGCAGAGCTGAGGTCACCGCTCTGTGTTGCGACTGAGTCACTGCATCTTGGCATCAACAATACCCTCAGGCGGTACCGGTCACGGACGGATCATCTACTCAAAAGCGCGCGACACGAAAGGGCGAGGGCGGGGGCGCGGCGGCGGCGCGGCGGCGATGCGGTCGCCCTCATGCGTGCCCGATGAGGTTGCCGCCGCCCTTGTTCGCCTTGTTGCGCTTCGCCGCGGCCTTGTTCTCGAGGTACTGGGCCGCGGCGGCGCTCGGGTTGGGGACGGCGCTCTTCTCGTCGCTGATGGGCTTGGAGATGCCGTCGGTCCACTCGATGGGGTTGCCGCCGCCCTTGGCGGCCTTGTTCCGGCGCGCGGCGGCCTTGTTCGCGATGTACTGCTCGGCGGCCGCGTCCGGGTTCGGCGGCGGCGGGCCGTAGGACTGGGACCGCGGCGAACGCGTCGGCGCGGACGACGTCGCGTCCCAGTCGAGCAGGTCCGATTTCGCGCCCTTCTTGCGGTCCTTGTTCTCCGCGGCGAGCTTCCGATTCTCCGCGTACATGGCGATGCCGTCGGCGGGGTCGTAGCCCACGCCCTCGGCGTCGCGGCCGCCCACGGCCTTGCGCGGCGACTTGCCGAAGAGGGGGCGGTCCGGCGTCGGCGGCGGCGGCTCGCCGTCGAAGACCGACGTTTGGCACCGGTTCTTGGCCAGCTGGGCCTTCATCTGCTCGCGGCCCCTAACGTAGGCCTCGATGCCCTCGGCCTGCGTGTAGCCGGGGCCGTTCTTCGTCGTGGGGGCCCGCGAGCCCGCGTCGTAGTTCCCGTTCATGGCGAACGGCGCCTCCCGCCGCGTCTTTTGCCATGCCATGCTGCTGCCCACTCGTCGCGGCCAAAACCGAATGATACCAAGGGCAGGCCAAGACCGCAGCCAGCCGCCGGGGGTCGACCCAGCCAGCCAGCCAGGGACGTCCGGTCCACGGAACGACCCCTCGCTACAACCTCTACAACGCGCGCCTACGGCGCGCCGCGCCGTCCTGGGGCGGCTGCGGCGACCGGCTGGCCGCCGGCCACGCGCGTCGGCGCTCGCGCTTCCGTCACCCCCGGCGGCCACTCCGGGCGCCTAACTAGATTTTGACATGATTCCCGCGCGAAAATCGCAAGATTTGCACATGCAACGTCTACATTGAAGAAATGGGTGGCTCTCATTGGCCAGCCAGCCAGCCAGCCAACATCTACCTCACGGTCAGCCAAACCGGGTCCCGGCGGAGGGTTGTTATCGTGGACTGCCCTAGATGATACTCTGTTTCACAGCGCCAACTTGACGACTCAAGGTCCCTTCAGCTTCGCCTTGGCAGAGGCACTGAAGAGCATGGTTGCGCTCCGTGCATTTACGCTCGCGACCGCCGCAGCGCTCGCGCCGCCGGTCTCCGAGCGCGTCGTGACGCTCAAGGACGGCCAACGGATGCAGTGGCTGTCCTGCGAGCCAGCAAAACGCAACCCCTTCGCGCCGCCGCCGCCGACCTGCGTCTTCGTGCACGGCACGTTCCACGGCGCCTGGTGCTGGGCCGAGAAGTGGCTGCCGCGCTTCGCGGGGACGCACGGCATCGCCGCGCACGCGCTGTCGCTGCGCGGCACGTCCGCGTCGCCGTACGACAAAGCGGTGAAGCTCTCGCAGCACGCGGCCGACCTCGGGGAGGCGATCGCGGCGCTCGGCCTGGAGCGGCCGCCGCACCTCGTGGCGCACTCCTTCGGCGGGCCGGTGATCCTCGACGCCGTTAATGAGGGCCTCGACGCCGCGGGACTCGCGCTCCTCTGCAGCGTGCCGCCGTCGGGCAACGGCCCCGGCGTGCGCCGCGTGCTCTTCCGGTCGCTCGGGGAGGCCTGGCTGATCACGCGGGCCTTCGCGCTGAAGACGGCGGGCACGAACCCGGACGACGCGAACGCGATCTTCTTCAACGGCGAGCTCGACGGCGACGCGGCGGCGCGGTACGCGGCGCGGTTCAAGGCCGACGGCGCGACGGGCCTGGACCTCCGGGACTACACCGAGTCCCTGCCGCGCTGGCCCGTCGACGCCGCGGGCGCGTGGACGAAGGCCGCGCCCAAGGCGCTCGTCGTCGGCTGCGGCGCGGACCGCGTCGTCGACGACGTCGCGGTCCGCGAGACGGGCGCGTTCCTCCGCGCGGACCCGACGACGCTCCCCGGCGCGCCCCACGACCTCATGCTCGCGGACGTCGCCGACGACGCCGCGGACCTCGTCGCGGCCTGGGTGGCGGGGTAACGCGCTTAGGCCTAGCCCCGCTGCATCATGAGGATGAGGACGCCCTGCTGGCCGAGGAGGAGCTCGCGCGAGAAGCTCGCGACGGCGATCCAGACGATGGGCGACACGTCGACGCCGAAGGACGGCGGCACGACCGCGCGCGTGAGCTTGAGCACGGGCTCCGTCGGCCACGTGACGATGCGCCACGGCATGTCGTTCAGATCCGTCTCCGGGTACCAGGAGATGATGACGCGCAGCAGCATGATGAACTGGATGAAGAAGAGCGCCGGGTCGAGCACGTCGGACAGGGGCTGGACCCAGCCCGCGACCTCGGCGTGCGCCGCCAGCGGCAGCAAGGTCGTCGCCGCGGCGAGCGCGGCGACCTCCGGGGCGCGGGTCGCGGCGCTTTTCGGCGCCGCGGCGCGGAGCTGCGCCTTCGGCGGCGCCTTCGGCCGCAGCTGGAGGGCCGAGGCCGTCGCCGCGAGGCAGCATAGGAGCACAGTGGTCGGCTTCATCGTCACACACTCAGTCTAGAGCTGGCCAGAGCATTCAACAAGAGTTCAACAAAAGTTTTCGCCGCGCGGAGATCGCGCGGCGCTCCCCGCCGTGCTCCTGCGCGCCACCAGTTCTGCAAACAAGCCGTCGGGACCTATTCCGCAACCCAAAAAACTCTCGACCTCGAACCATGGGCGCCGTGCACGGCGTCGTCCTGAAGTATGTCGGTTTGACGGCCGTCGCCTCCGCCGCCCTGGCACTAACACCCAACACCTCCTACGCGCGCTACCCGCTCGTCGTCGTCGCCGTGACGAACCTCATCATCAGCGCCCTCTTCATCGCCGACCGGGGCACGTTTCTGCTCGGCAAGGACCACCGGACCGGGAGGAGCCCGCTGCCGTACTACGCGGTCTGGGCGGGCTTCGTGGTGCCGACGTGGCTCTACACGAAGATCCACACGGTGCTCGGCACGGGCCACGGCATCCCCGAGGCGACGGAGGTCGCCGGGGGCTGGTGGCTCGGCGGGCGCTACGCGGACAAGGCGCCGGGCCGGCCCGACCGCTGGGCCGGGTGTTTGGACCTCACCTGCGAGCTGCCCGAGCGGTGCATGGAAATGACCGACGCCTACAAGCTCGTGCGCCTCTGGGACGGCGCGCCGCCGTCGCCGGCGCTCGTCGAGGAGGCCGCGCGCTTCTGCGTCGCCGAGCGCGCCAAGGGGCCCGTGCTCGTGCACTGCGCGCACGGCCGGGGCCGGTCGACGACGGTCATGTGCGCCTGCCTCGCCAAGGCGGGCCTCTTCCCGGACTGGCAGACCGCCTTCGCCGCCTGCCAGCTCAAGCGCCCCTGCGTGCGCCTCAACGCGAAGATGCGCCGCGTGCTCGAGGCCTGGGAGCGCGAGTACCCGACGCGGTCCAAGAGCCCCTAGGGTGCCCCCCGTTTTTGTCCATAAGCTCCGTTCGACGATTAACTCCCCCGGAACTCACTTCTTCTTCTTGCCGCCCTTGAGCTTCTCCTTCTTCGCGAGGGCCTCCATCTGCTTGTCGTACTCCTGCTCCATCTGGTCCGCGGTCTGCGTCGAGAGGATCTCGCGGAAGATGCGCTCGTAGACCGCGAGCTGGCAGCACTCCTCGCAGAGCGTGGGCATCATCTTCCGCGCGATCTCCGTCGACATCTCCTCCTCGCGGTCCAAAATGACGACGCGGAAGACGCCCTTCTTCGAGCAGCAGCCGCCGTTCTTCCAGTCGAAGCGCGTCGTCGCCGGGTCCCGGCGCTGGGCCTCCGACGCGAGCGTGTAGGGGTAGAGCGCGGCGATCTCGGGCTCCTCGTCGAGGTCCTGCGAGCCGCCGCAGCACCAGACCTTGTGGGACTCGCAGGGGTAGGTGTAGGTCTTGTACTTCTTCAGCTCCTCGTCGTGCTCCTTGAGCTTGACGGCCATGCCCTGCGTCTCGTAGGAGTCGGGCTCGTAGTCCTTCTCGTGGCCGGGGTACATGCTCAGGTCCTTCTTCTTCGGCATGGCGGATGCGCGGGGTCGCCGACCGCGTCGGGCGGGCGGACGGCGGGCGTGCTGCGGCGGCGGGAGCGCGTCGGCGCGGCGCGTGGGCGGGTCGCGGGGCGCTGCCACTTCTGATTTTCAGGCGCACCAGGTCGTCACAGCTCGAGTTTTTCCACTTGGTCAACCCCAGGGTGTTTACCTGTCATTGAAGCACCACAACCTCGATGGAATGCATCGATTGCTGCCGGCCGCCGCGCTGGCGCTCGCCAGCAACACCACCTTGGACTTTGGCATCGCCGGCGTGCAAAAGGGCGGCACGACGGCGCTGGCGGAGCTGCTGCGGGCCCACGGCGCCTGCGTCGGCCCCCACGAGGTCCACTTCTTCTCCCACGCGCGCAGCGGCCCCGAGCCGCGCTGGCGCACCGTCCACGACCGCGCGACCAGGGCCTGCGCCGCCGCGCGCCCGCGGGGCTTCGACGACCCGGCCTTTAGCTTCTACGGCGCCGGCGCGCCGGCCGAGGTCGCGGGCTTGGCCGCGCTGGCGCCGGGCCTCCGCCTCGTCCTCGTGCTGCGCGAGCCCATCCAGCGCGCGCGGAGCCAGCACGGCATGATGGCGGCGGGCGCGAAGTCGCGGAGGGTCCTCCGGGGCCGGCCGCTCGAGGTCCTCGCGCGCGACGAGCTCGCGCGCAACGGCACGCGCGACCCCTACGACGTCGTCCGCCGCGGGCTCTACCACGAGCAGGTCGAAGCGCTCGCGGGCTTCGACCTCCACGTCGCCGTCGCCGAGCGCCTCTTCGCCGGCGGCTACGGCGCCGTCTTCCGGTTCGTCGGGCTGGAGCCGCCGGCGACGTACGCGGACGTCTTCCGCCGGCGGACCAAGGCCCCGTCCGCGCTCTCGCCCGCGGCGCTCGAGCTCCTGGCGGCCGCGTACCGGGGCCCGACGGACCGGCTCTACGGCGCGATCGGGGTCGTGCCGGAGTGGGAGCGCTGGTACGCGGACCGCGGGCTGCCGGCGACGCGCGTCCCACGAGAACGCTAGACGCTTACTCGTGCGGAGTCCAGCGTCGGTAGCTCCTCGCCCACCGCCGGCAGCTCGTCGCCCACCGCCGGCAGCTCGTCGCCCGCCGGCGCCGGCGGGATCTCCGGGGCGCCGTCGAAGGGGCGGTACAGGAGGAACCGCTGGTTGTTGAATCCGATCCAGTCCGGGACGATCGTGAAGCCGCACGTGTCGTAGAAGCGGAGCGCGGGCGCGTTGAGCCGGTTCACGTGCAAGCACATGCCCGCCGCGCCCCAGGCCGCGGCCTTGCGCTCGCAGTAGTCCACGAGCGCCGACGCGACGCCCTTGCGCCGGCTCACGCTGGCCACCGCGAGGCCCGTGATGTAGCCCACGAGCCGGTAGGGCTCGGCCGACGGCTCCGCCGCGGGCGCGCGCGCGCGCGGGTCCGCGTCGCGCGCGGGCCAGAGCGCGTCCGCCGGCGGCAACCGCCGGAGCCGCAGCGAGATCAAACCGAGGCACTCGCCGTCGTCGGCCCGGGCGACGACGGACAGGCCGTAGCCGTCGGCGAACTCCGCGCAGGTCCGCACGACGGTCTCCCGCGGCGCCGCGCGGCCCGAGGCGTCGGGGAAGGGCCGCGGCGCCGGCGCGCCGCGGGGCGACGCGTCGGCCCCCGCGGCGAACTCGTCCGTGGCCCGCGCCTCGTAGCGCCGCGCGTTCGGCAGGCCCGTCGTCCAGTAGGACACGAGCGCCCGCAGCAGCTCGACGGCCGCGCCGTCGCCGTCGCCGCGCTGGAACCCCGTCGGGAAGCCGCCCGTCTCGAACTCGAAGACGCGCCACTGGAAGAGCGTCGCGGCGAAGAGCTCGCGCGCCGTGACGACGGGCGCGAGCTCGAACGCCGCGGCGACGGGCTCGGGCCGCCGCCGCGGCGTCGCCTCGCCGAGCCAGTCCGCGAGCCTCGGGTACGTCGCCTGGGGCGGCGGCGGCGTGTCGTCGTCGACGTCCACGGTCACGACCGTCGCCGCGAGGAACAGGAAGCCGACGATCGCGACGGGGATGAGCAGCAGCAGCGGGTCGTCGCTCTGCTGCGACGCCGCCGCCGCCGCGCGCTTCGCGAGGAACCGCGCGCCCTCGACGTCGTCCCAGTCCACGGCCGCGCCGAGGCTCACGGGCTCGGCGGCGTCGAGGTCGCCGAAGCGCGCGCGCAGCGTCGGCAGTCGCGTCGAGACCGCGCGGCGTTGGAGGAGGCCCGCGGCGGCGGGCAGCAGGACGACGCAGCGTTTGATCGGTGCCATGCGTGCCCGCCGCAGGAGCTGCGTGCTACGCGCTGGCGCGCTGCACGAGCCGTGCTGACACAGGCGGTTGCTACGCGTCGGGAGCAGCGGCGCGCTGCCGACGGGAGCTGCTTGCTGACACAGACGAGAGCCACGAGGCGTCTTGGGTTGCTGCTGCAGGGAAGCATACCTCAATATCTCGAAGGTGCTGCAAGTTCCATAGGGACCAGCGTGATGATGGATGAGACGCAGCCTCTGGTGGCTGCCCCGAAGCGCAGGCGCTGGCTCGCCTGGAGCGGCGGCTGCGCGGCGCTCGGCGTCGTCGCCGTCGCCGGCAGCTCGGGCCAGTACGCCGCGACGCCGGCCCTCGCCAAGACGGATGGGAACGATGCTTCCGCGGCGTCTCCCGATGCGTCCGCGGCGTCTCCCGATGCGTCCGCGGCGTCGCCGAAGATGTGCGTCGTCCACGCGGCCTACGGCGACGAGTACACGACCATGTCCGAGGAGTACACGCTCCCGCTCAAGCGCGCCTACGCGGCGCGCCACGGCTACGACGTCGTCGTCCGCCTCGGCTCGTCGCTCGAGGACATGTCGCGGGGCTGCGGCGACTACGCCACGGTGAGCGGCCGCGACGGCCTGGACTACACCATGGCCGTGACGAAGTACTGCGCGCTGAAGGCCGCCCAGGACGAGGGCTGCGAGTACGCGCTCTGGACCGACGCGGACGCGGTCTTCGTGGACACGGCGACGCCGCTCGAGGCGTTCCTCGAGCGCGCGGGCGGCGCGCCCCTCGTCTTCTCCCTGCCGACCTACGCGGGCGACGTCTGCGCCGACGCCGTGCCCGCGGACCACAGCTGCCCGGCGGACCCGGAGGTTTTAGCGCAGTGCCTGAATCTGGGCGCGTTCCTCGTCGACCTCCGCGCGGGGTCGCGGGGCGCCGCGCTCGTGGAGCGCGTGCTCGCCTCCACGGGGTCGACCATCGCCAGCGACGCCGCCTTCATGGCGACGGCCGCGGCGGACTACAACTGCGCGCCGCTCGCGCTCGACGCCGTGCCCGACGACTGGGAGGTGAGCGACCAGTGCGCCGTGACCTACGCGCTCCACGCGGACGCCTTCGACGCCGCGCGCGACGCCGCCTGCTTCGGCGCGTCCAGGTGGAGCGCGGACGCGGACGCGGACCGCGGCGCCTGCAAGGACGCGTCCGCGGACGTGCCCGCGGACCTGCAGCAGGTCAACTCGAACCTCGGCGCGGCGTGCCCCTTCGTCGTGAACTGCATCCGGGGCTCGGACCCGGACGCGGACAAGTTCGCCTTCCTCGACGACCTCTTCGACGTCTACGGCCTCGACAAGGCGGCGATCGACAAGGCGGCGCCCGACGCGGCGAAGTTCGACGCGGCGAAGGTCGACGCGGCGAGCTTCTGGGCCGCGTCGACGACGTCGCCCGCCGCGAAGCTCGCCGCGTCGAACTTCGTCGCGTCGGGCGGTGCCGCGGCGGCCGCGGCCGTGCCGTCGGTCTACCTCGCGGGCGACGGCTGGTCCACGGACTCCGACGAGTCGCTCGCGGACACGCGCGTCCTCGTCACGGGCGCGGCGGGCTTCATCGGCTCCCACGTCGTCGAGGCGCTCGTCGATCCGGCCGCGTTCGGCGCGGCCTGGCCCGGGACGCGGCCCGAGGACGTCGTCGCCATCGACGACTTCAACATGTACTACTCGGCGGCGCTCAAGCGCGCGCGCGCGGCGAACGTGCTCGCGGCGACGGGCGTCGAGGTCCAGGCCGTCGACGTCTGCGACCGCGGCGCCCTCGACCGGCTCTTCGAGGCGCGGGCGTTCACGCACGTCGTCCACCTCGCGGGCCAGCCGGGCGTCCGCTTCCGCGACACGAGCCCCGGGTCCTACGCGGCGAACAACGTCGACTGCTTCGTCGCGCTCTTCGAGGCCGCCGCCGCCGCGCCGCTCAAGCCCTACGTCGTCTACGCGTCGTCGTCGTCGGTCTACGGGTCCAACGCGAAGGTCCCCTTTGCCGAGACGGACGCCGTCGAGCAGCCGTCGAGCCTCTACGGCGCCACGAAGAAGGCCGACGAGCTCGTGGCCTACGCCTACCACACGTCCGCGGGCCTGCGGTCCACGGGCCTCCGCTTCTTCACGGTCTACGGCCCCTGGGGCCGGCCGGACATGTCCGCGTACATCTTCGCGCGGTCCATCGACGTCGGCGAGCCGCTGACCGTCTACAACGGCGGCGCCATGGCGCGCGACTTCACCTACGTCGACGACACGGTCCGCGGCGTCCTCGCGGCGCTGAAATACCGCGCGCCGCCGAACCTGGACGCGCGCTACGTCGACGACGCGTGCCACGGCGAGCCGCTGCCCGACGTCTTCAACCTCGGCCGCGAGGACCCGGTCTGGCTCAGGGACTACGTCGCCGCCATCGAGGCGAGCCTCGGCAAGGCTGCTATGATCGTCGACGGCGGCGCGAGCCCGTCGGACGTGCCCGTGACCTACGCGGACGCGTCCAAGGCCAAGGCGCTCCTCGGCTGGGAGGCCGCGGTCGGCATCGAGGACGGCCTCGCCCGCTTCGTCGCCTGGTACGCCGCCGAGGGCCGCGCGCACGACGAGTTCTACACCGCGGGCGCGTGGCACGGGTCCGCGTAAGGCCGCTGCGCGATCGTCCGATCGCGTCGCGCGGGGCGGCGCGGCGATGCTTTACTTCTTCCCCGTCGGCGGCGGGGGCTCGTCGGCCTCGGGCGCGGGGAGCGCGAAGGTGAGCGGGACGATGGCCTCGGCGTCCTCCGCCGGCGGCGCGTCCTCGGCGCCGTCGTCCGCCGGCGGCTTGTCCGGCGCGCCGACGCGGACCGCGACGTAGGTCTGTCTGTGGAGGAGCACGTCCTTGGCGTTGACCTTGGGCGTCTTGTTCAGCTCCAGGTTCTTGCCCGTGTCGTCCTGGAGGTCCACCTCCTGGAGGCCCTTGAAGAGGCCCACGCCCGCCATGAGCGCCTCGGACTGCGCCGCGCCGAGCGCCTCCGCCTTCTCGAGCTCCGCGAGGCGCTCGGCGACGCCCTCGGCGGGCTCCTCGGCCTCGGCCTGGGGCCGCACGCTCGCCAGCTCCTCGGCCGTCGCCTCCTGCTGCGCGCGGATCGCCGCGTCCTTCTCGCGGGCGTAGGCCTCCGTGTCCTTGACGACGCGCTTGCGGATGTAGTCGAGCAGGATCGCCGCCTCGCAGTCGCCGTTGAAGATCGCCGGCGCCATCGTCGCCTCGCCGAACTTGACGTGGAAGATCATGGCCGATCAGCGCGCGGTGAGACCGAGCGCAGGCAGCCCCAAAGCTGTTTTGTCTCGCGTTGCGCGCGGGCTGCGGCAAGCGGGAAGCAAGGCTGGCTCGATGCAGGCGCATTGAACATAAGCTGCAGCTCGAGCTCTGCGAGCTGCTCAACGCGATGGCCGCGACGGGCCCGATCCTCGCGGGCCTCGTCTTCTCCGGCGACTTGCTCGCCGCCGAAGACGACGAGGGCGGCGACTACAACGAGAACGGCAATCGGCTGGTGCCCGGCCTGAAGACCATGGGCGCCGCCGCGCCCGCGACGGCGCCGACGAGCGCGTCGGGCGACGGCGGCCTGCAGTACCGCGCCAGCGCCCTGCGCCGCGCCATGGAGGCGGCGCAGTCCGGCGGCCGGAGCCTGGAGGACGTCGTCCGCGAGCGCTGGGGCTCCGTCGCCGAGCTCACCGGCGGCGTCGAGCCCGACGCGTTCCTGCGCTCCGCCGCCGCCGCCGCGCGGCGCGCGCCGCGCCGCGGCCGGGGCAAGGGCCGCGGGGGCCGCGGCGGCGCCTACGGCGGCGGCCGCGGGGAGTCGCGGCCGAAGGTCCGCCTCGGGAGGGACCAGACGGACGCGGACGTGCTGAAGCGCTACGGCCAGAAGCTGCAGGGCAGCCTCGACGCGGCCATGGGCGGGCCGGCGCCGGCGCGGCCGGCGGAGGAGGAGTCGGGCTGGGTCGGCCTCGCGAGCCGGTCGACGTTCGGCATGACGTCGTCCTTCAAGGACGGCTGGCGCAAGCGCGGCCAGGCCGAGGAGCCGGCGGCCGCGCCGCCCGCGCGGCGGCCCCGGCCCGCCGGCCCCGCGCCCCGGCCCGCCGCGCCGCCGCCGAAGCCCGCCGCGCCGCCGCCGAAGCCCGCGCCGCCGCCGAAGCCCGCCGCGCCGAAGGAGGAGGTCCGCCAGGGCGACGGCGAGTCGAATTCCGACGCGGCGGCCGCGCTGCGACGAAACCTCGGCCTGTAGTAACGAGCGACTCTAGGAAACGACCGGCTTACTCGTCCAGCGCGGCGGTGTCGATGAAGCCGCAGATGGGCATGGCGATCTGCACCGCGGGCCCCATGCGCATCACGACGACGACGTCCGTGCCCGCGGGCAGCGTGCCGAGGGGCGGGCCGGGCTCGGGCATCTCGCGGACCTCCGTCGCCGCCTTGACCTTCGTGCCCGTGGCGTTGCCGGCCATCTGCCGCGGCGGCGTCGCGGCCTGGAGCACGCTCGCCTCGAAGCCGCGCAGGTCGCTGTCCGTGTTCGTGACCTTCTTCGGCGCCGACGACGCCGCCGCGCGGTGCTTGAAGTTCGGCGGCACGGCCGGGCCGAAGTCGCTCATGGTCTCGCTTGCGTGTGCGTTGGCGGTCGCGCGAGCGGTTCCGGGCGAGCGCGCGCGAGCGACGTGCACGGTTAGCGATGCGAACGCAGCGTTCTGCGATGGACGATACAGGGGCGCAGTCGCGTGTGCGTCGAGCGAGTGGCCGTAGAAGTCGACTCGCTGCGACGACCGAGCGCTTGCCACAGGAGCTCGCGAAGCCGAAGGTGATGCCGAGGCTCTCGGAGCAGCCCCGCCAATCAGCTGCCGATCGCGAGCATGGACATCTCCAGGAAGCCAAAGACGATGGGAGGCCTGCGCCTGCTCCTCGTGGCCGCGGCCGCCCGCGCCTACGAAGTCCGCCGCCTCGAAGACGCGACGCTCGTGCCGACGCCCGCGCCGCGACCGCCGGCGTCGCCCGCGCCGACGACGCACGAGCCATCGGCCGCGCCGACGCCCATCCCGACCCCGTCGTGCATGGACTACGCGGACCACATCTACGGCGGCAAGGTCTGCGCGACGTGGCTCTCCCAGAGCGGCTGGAGCTGCTTGGACGCGACCTTTGCGCCCGGCGGCGCGCTCGAGGGCCTCTGCGACCGCACGTGCGACTTCTGCCCCGGCGAGCCGACGGCCGCGCCGACGGGCTGCCCGGAGGACGCCGCCGCCGTGCGCATCGCCGCCTTCCGCGAGCAGGGCCACAAGGGCTGGGGGTCCAACGTGCTGACGCTCTCGGACGACGCCGCGGCCGTCGCGGCGGAGTACGCGCTCCCGGCGGGCGCGACGGCGGCGTCCG